TCATAGTTCACATGATCTCAGTTACCATCTCCAAGGACCATCCTCACCCTATTGCCCAACAATCTCTTAACACAGAAAAGACACCTTTGACAATTATTATCCCTTCCCTCTTCTTTTTGCCTCTAGATATGATCAAATTAATTCTTAAATAATGGCATATATCCAATCTTCAAGACACCATGTAGACAGCATATATGCTACCCATCATATCACTGAGAAAATTCTATCCCAAATCCAGGTTAGACCTGGAAGTAGCTGGAGGTAGAAAATTCATTACTGTTTTTAAACACCTAGTGATTAGAATACATGGCCAAAAAGCTGACAACTTGAGTCAGCCTGAATAATTTGTATTAAGGAAAAAATATAAATGATGATTCTTAACAGCTTGTTGGCTGACTGACTTAACATGACTTAAGTCCTAAGAGTTAGATATTACTTCACTTCAGGACCCAAAGCTTAAGTGACTCCATCAAACTGTGAGAAGGGAGCAAAGACCCCGAGTGACTGGCCTTTGTTATTACAGAATGTTTCCAAAGTAACTGAGTCTGTTAATTACTTTCATTTCAATGTGACATACTATCCAGAAAAAGAGAACAGTAACTTGTACATTGGGTTAATGAATGCTAAGTACTCAAAGTTTTAATATTTGAAAGAGAAGTAATCACTTAAATATATGCCCTTAGTTTAGAAATTCCTCTTCTTCTAGGTTAATGTTCTAAAACAATTATGTAGCCTCTGAATTAGGCAGAATCTAAAATAAGCTCGATATGGGAAGGACCCAATTAAAGAGCCTTACTAAAACCTGCTTGTAAAAACTTCCACTTGCCTCATTCCATTTCAGCCAACATGTATAAAGCATCTATTCTATCCTTAGGACCCTGCTGGGTACACTAGAAAATACAAGGAAACACAATGGACTCTGCTTGACCTTGAGAAACAACACTGCCCGGGGGAAAAACATAGAGTAAAAGGAAGAGGTGCTCTGAAGAGTTCTGTCTCTGCTACTGAATGGTCACAGAAATGTGAACACTAGTTTTCTCCAGTGGTAAAATGGGCTTAACATTACACCAGCTGTCCTACAGAAATTAACAAAATCAACTATGACAAAAAAGAAAGTATTTGAAACTTCAAAAAAAACAATGTAAGATAATATATAATGTTAAAAATTATATTCATGAGACAACTAGAGAATAGAAGAAAACATAGACGTATACTACATATCATAATATAATATAGAATTTCTCAAAATTAATTCAACACAACTCTAATTCTGTGAAATGTCCATAGGTGTTTCTCAGAAAAAGAATCCCATGACCAAGTAAGCATAGGAAGCACAGGGCTTAATGATTTTTCTGTTATTCGTTCTACCATTACCAGTAGATAACATTTAGTCACAGTGGTAAGTCTTTTCTATGGAATATCTCATTTAATCTCACAACAACTCTGTAAGACAGATGTTATTATTATCCCCATTTTACACATGAGGAAACTGAGGCAGAAGACATTATATAACTTTCCCACGGTCACATGGCTAGTTAGTGGCAAAGGCAGGACTCAAAAACTCAGAGCTCCCACACTTAACACATACTGCTTTCTACTTCCTCAAAGTTTTTGAAATTCACTATGAATCTCTTAGAGGGGAACAGAACATGTGTCTTTCGTGAATTAATTTTTTTGGAACACCTGTAGCACTTTGCTAAATGGAGCAATAATGAAAAGTGCATTCATTTCCTTTTCCTAAATTATTCTGCCTCTTAGGCTTGGGCTATATTTTAGTCTAAGGTATTTCTTTTATGATCCATTTCACTCAAATCAGTAATCCAAGAAGCACCAACTTAAAATTATCTGCCTAGGTCACTATCATAATAGAGAGAATATCTCAGCAGGGGACTACTCCACATTTGGTTTAAATGCCTGGGCCCAGGATTTCATATTGCATAACTGGGGAGAACATCTAGACTTACGGGATGAAAATGTGATCAACTATTAAATAATATATATTGCAGTTTATCCTTTGAAAATCACAATATCCCATCAAGTGAAGCAAATAAGACTGAAATATTAAGCTTTTGCTTTGCATTTATTAGCTTTATTATACTTTATAAAAAAAATTAAATAGGCCCATTAGGCAGTTTTGTTACCAATGAGTGGATTTTCCAATATTTTCTTCATCTAGTTTATGTAGCATAGCCTGTAATGTAATCATTTTGTTTGAAAAAAAAATCACAATTTTTATAGTCAACACCATTAAGGTAAACATAGTGTAGGAGAAAGTCAATCATAACACATCAAACATTTGATTTTATAGAGACTTTAGTAAAGTAATCTTCATTTCTTGATGATTATATGATCTCTTTGTGCTGAACTAAAAGCCGGGGACATAAAAACAACATATAGTGAAGCCCAGAACGAAATGAAGGCCAGTGATCAATGAAAAGTGGTTATACAATTTGGTATATTCATGTCCTCTCCCCTTAAGAATCACCAGGGTAATATGTTAACTGAAATGTCTTATTTTTATAAGAAATCAAATATATAAAAAAAAGTACTAAAATGATCATAGTGCTGCCACTCACTCTCCATAAACAACTGCTGTCAAAAACATTAAATCTTAAAATGATGCCTATTGAGCCTAAGAAATGGTAACTAAATGAACTCTTTGGATAAATTGCTAATATCACTGCAGCATTCTAGCAATTAAAGTACTTGGGCTAAGGACATGTGGGAGAATGTTCCATTGGATATTGTGACCCTAGTAAAACAAGTTCTGGCCATGCTTTCTGCCAAAAACAACGTTAACCAGGGCAATAAGGAGTTATCATTTAGTGGGTACAGGGTGTCAGATTTGCAAGATGCAAAGAGTTCTGTAGATGGATAGTGTTGATGGTTGCAGAACAATGTGAATGTACTTAATGCCACTGAACTGTACACTTAAAAAATGACTGAGATAGTAAATATTATGTTATATGTATTTTATCACAATTAAAAGTAGTATTTTAAAAAATACATAATTTTGTTGTAATTCTTCCTTGCTGGGTGGGCATGTTATTTCAATTTCCCTGTATCCCACCCCCCTTTTTATATATAAACTTTTATAAATAAACCTGTGTTTTAAGGTAAAAGATCAGAATTTTAACATTTAGAATATTATTTCTAGTAAAAAATATGAGCTAGGGTTTGGTGGTCTTCTGTCTAGAACAAAAAACCGGGAGAGTAAATTCACAATAGGCCTTCAATTAAAAAAAATACAAACATGCTTAGCAGTTAACATTTAGTGAAATAGCACAAATAGGAAATGGGTTAGGAGTCTAATTGTTTTTGGATTCCATTTGAAGCCAATAAAAGGAATCCAAAGAGTTGCTAGAAATCTTTTCTGTATTATTATTTCTGGCTATCTGCATGAAAACATTAAGAAGAAAGGTTGAGGCTTTGAAAACTATTTCCTTCTCCCTTCAAGAGAAGGAAATAGGAGCGTACACATTCTTTCTTTCCTTTCTAAAGGTCCCAGAACCCAAGAATCTTAAGAACAGGGCAAAAATTCAAGTCAGATAAGAATAGGATGAGAAGCCTAAAATGAAGAGATGCTTTTTGTGCAGAACTGGGAGCTGCATGGGAAGGGATGATCCAGGGAAGGCCAATAGTAGCCTCAAACTTATCAGACACATTAGCCATCAAACATCGTACTGGCAAGACCCAAGGACTGTATGAGAAATATGTCATTACTTAATTCTCTGAATTATCACAGTGGAAGTGCTTAACATTTGGACCAAGAAATACCAACACTGGGCAGTACCCAGTTATTTATAGGAAAAAACAATTCAAATATGTAAATATAAGTCCTTAAAGGACTATATTCAGGAGAAAGTACTCCCATCCTGGCTCTACCTGCACAGAGGACGGAAGCCCTGGGTGGGGGATTGGAGCAGATGACCTTGAGGGAGCTTCTAACCCTGAGGACTCTTAATTCTATGCCAAGGCTGCATCTACATGTGGAGGCTGTTCTGGGATCTTAGGATGTGACCCTTCATGGTCATAGGGCAATAGGGCAATTTTTATCTATATTCATGTGGTTGGTTAGAGCTTAAAATTCTAAGAACATTAGTAACCAATCTGAAAATAAATTATTTTACAACTTTGAAAATATATATTAATATCAATGTTGAAACATCTAAGGTAAAAACACAATCACAATGTGTTGCAGGGATAGCGTATGTATGGAAGACAGCTCTCTGGAGGAAAGCTTTATTATTCCCTCAGGGCCTTCTTACCGAGTATGGATTTTTTAATTCCTGGTGGAATATTTTTCATACACCATTGCAGACTATTAAGTACCAGATATTACATTATGTAGTTTAAACTTTGCACTACTTGCATGAGAAAGACTTCCCTGTCGAGAGAACTATTTTTTATGGTTAGCATTTTTTAATATGAAAATGAACACTCCTTCAGGGTAGGATCGTTGCAACCGGAATTTGGGAGAATTTTGTAACTTAACATATTCATCAATGTGTAGAAATTCTCTCAGGGGAGGAGGGTAAGTAGAGAAAGAAATACAACAGGAAGAAGGCTTTTTAATAACTTATAGTGTCGACACAGGGCAAACCAGTGGTATTTATAAGGCTTGCCTTCCACAGGGCATAGCTGTAAACAGGAAGGGGACTAGCATAGGGTGGTAGCAAGTTAAAAAAAAAAAATCATGGTGTTAAAGAGCAAAGGAAAAAAATGTACTAAACTTCAAGCCAGTTAAAGGTGCACTTGCTAATGGTGGACTATTAATGGCTCACCCAGGAGAGATGCTGCCTCAGAAATATTAAAAAGGCTATATAAATGCACTTTTTCAAGTAACTCCTGAGAAAATGGATGCCTTGCAGAATTTTGGAGTCAAATGTGGAAATAAAATCTAAGTGCTAGTGGTCATTTAAAAATCTTTGCCAAGGAGAACTTGGATACCCACATGTGGCAAAAGTGGATAGAAAGTTTAAACAAAATTAACTACTCACTTGTAGACTGTGCCTCCGTTGCCATGACCAAGAGTGTCTCGATACCGTATGTCTTGTTCATTCATCTCCACAAGAAAGAAAGAAAAACAAAAAGGGTGTCATGCTGTGGATGAAAATGTCAAGGAAAAGCAACTCTGGGCCATAAACAACAAGCAGTCTGGGTCATTTCAAGTTCAGCTGCAAGAACGAGAAGATCAATACAACATTTGCTGTCCAATTTATAAAAGACGATACCAGGGGACAAAGTGATGGAAAGTTTAATGACAATTTGTTTGCCTGGGTCATTTCATTAAAGTTTGATAAAAGGTGTCAAAATGGAATGATATAACATAGCTCAAAAGGGTCAGGTCAGAGATACCGATAAGAACAGTCTCCAGTACTACATATAACCAATGCCAAATAGCGCTGCACATAACCAAAGTCAAACTTGGGAAGACAAAACACTCTCTCTCTCTCTCTTTCTCTCTCTCACTCACTCTCTCTCTCTCTCTCTTCCCCTCTCCCCCACACCCCGCCTTAACCTAATTCATGATCTGTAAATAAATCAGCCCCTGAAAACTCCTCAGGTGACCCTATAATTAACATTAAACAAACTGAATAATGTTAATGATTTTCCTAGAGTAGATATAGGTTATCTTTGGAAATGATAAATTAGTATACAGCAATATATGGGTAGAAATCCTATTATGCTGATGAAAAAGTACCAAATCAATGCACTTTAAAATGCACATATAGTCAAATATTATAATGCATAAAGAGAAAACATAGGCATGTGATTCTTATAAAGTCATTTCCATAATTTAAAACATGTAACAGCATAGACATTTTCCCAGGTTCTGTAAAACTGTTATACCACAAATACTACTCTCATTTGTATCACAAATAGTGGTGAATTATTTTAGTGCCCACAAAATAATGTTTTAGAGTTTTAAAGAACTCCCTAAATAATTATTTATCAGATTATATTTGATGCATTCAGTAATTTTCTACACTCTGGTCCGGTTGCTTAAAAATTAACTGCCAACTTTATTCACTAAGTGGCTTCAATAAAAGTGTTATTTTCCATATAGCTAAAGCTTGGGAAAAGCCATACTAAGCCCTGAAAAAAAAAAAAATCAATTTCCAGGGAATTGAACTGCCTTGCATGAGCAGAAAATGGATGGAGTTTTTAATTCAATATCACCTGGAAAAAAATAGTTTGCTTTCAGACCATTATAGTAAAGCTTTAACTATTTTGCTGTACTCTACCCTTCCACCAATTGAATAAAGCAAGGCTTCATTTATCAAGGGAAATATTTTTCTTCTATACATTTCTGAGGCTGAAGCTTCAGAGAACTGTGATAATTAGGAGTACAGTGTAGGTAACAGAAACAGCTTCCTTTCCAAGCCATTTTGCCAACCCCTAAAAGAATATTGGCAGATATATGTATGAAGGGCAATTCTGAACCCAATTTAATTGTAGTACAACCTAATTGATGCAATTTGCTATTAGCTAATTACTATATTTAGGGTCAATGGAGAAATGACAGACAAGTCAGAAAAACTGGTAACTATTTCTCCATTTCATGGAAATTCTGTTCTTCACTACCTTCATATTACTAATATTTTTTTTAAAAAAGTGTTTTAACCTGTGTAAAAGATATGGTATGAAAAAAAGAAAACCTCATGATTCTGGACCAAAGGATAAATTTTAAGACGGCATTAAAGAAAAAAACACATAAAGCAACTTGAGATGCTAAACCAGAGTTGCTTTTAGGCTTACTTGGATGGATGGATGTGAAGGATACATATGTAAATACCAGCATCTACTGGTGGGTACAGATAGGCTAATTCCTTTAAAATATTTCTCTGGGTATTCTAAACATGACTCTAACAACCTAATTTGTATCATTAACTTGCCTAACAAGCTGCACCGTCATCATAGCTTGAAGTAAATTTCCAGGAGAAAGATATTTCACTCTAGTCTACAAATTTGGAATTAGTGGCACTGAGATTTATGGGTAAACAGGCTGTAGCTATGCAGTATAGAGGGGCCGGGCTCCGGAGGGGCACAATCTGTGGTCATATCTCTTCTGCCTCCACTGCTCCATCAGGGCCTTTCGGGTAAAAGGACCAGTAATTTCCTCTCAGAAAAATATACACACTAAGACATATTGATATTACACATTCCAGTGATACACTGGGACAGACCTAGGGCTTTGGAGGGTGTTTGATTTTGTGATATTTTGTTGGAGGAAGAGGATGCAGAGGAGTAAGTATGGCATGTCTCTGAGCAGCTTCAATCATCATAATCCCAACATCATAGTCTTTTTACCTCTACTACCTACGAGGCTGAAAAGAGAAGGGAAGCAGCCCGCCCCCCCAACCCCCGCTCCCCAGCCCAGCATTCCCAGTACTACAATCTAGGCAGGAGTGGTAGGTATCCCAAAGAGTCAGAGATTGGGAATGTTCTATGTTGTGTGTGTGTGTGTGTGTGTGTGTGTGTGTGTGTGTGTGTGTGTGTGTGTGTGTGTGTGTGTGCGTGCGCGCGCGCGCTAAGCACTACATAAGTAAATTCAAGGATGGGGATCTGGAATACCTTAGAGATTGAGGGAGATTGTAAATGTCGCATAAAGACAAAAATGGTTTTGAACAAGTTCTAGAATGATGTCACAAAAAGACAGTATCCATTAAAAAAATGGGTAAAGTGTTCCTATGATGTTTCATTCAAGTTCTATAGACCTTTTGCCTGACCTATGAACATACGGATAAATATTTATATTTTAAAATATCCGATTCTGCCCTGGCTGGTGTGGCTCAGTAGACTGAGTGCTGGCCTGAAAACCAAAGTGTGGCCAGTTCAATTCCCAGTCAGGGCACATGCCTGGGTTGCAGGCCAGGTCCCCACTAGGGGGCACACGAGAAGCAACCACATGAGCCAACCCCATGAATTGATTAAACAAAATTTTCAGAATTTCATAGTTCTGATCAAAATGTACTACTTTAATTGATCTCAACTATGAAAAATCATTAAAGGGATCAACAAACAGCTAATAACATTTTTGCCTTTTCAGTTTAGATAAGCACATTAATCCAACTTTTCAAAATGAAGCACAGGAAGAGTGCTCATTATGATGTAAAAGTGGTGTTCAAAAGCCACAGAGTACATTTAAATATGATAGGATCAGATACCATAAAAAACACACAATTTTATAGCATTGTAAGCATTTAGCCTAATTCACATAGGTCATACAATTAGTCAATAACAACCAGTCAGGGCTAGAACTCATTCTTGCAAATGCTCCTCTGGAGGCTCTACCTTAGCAGTTGATCTCATGTGTAAGTGTGTAGGGACATCCCCTCCAGCCATGGTCACTGGCCCACAGGAGGAAAACCAATGAGCTGAAGGGCACTCACAAGTTAAAAGCAATTTCATTAGTTATGGTATTCGTTTTTAAGAAGAAAACCGTTTTTAAAATCACATAGCCCTTTCCATAGAAAAGAGGTGAAAGGAAGTTCTTATTCAATAAATGTACGGAAGCAAATTTTAAATAAAAATTTTAAAAAGCAAATAAAAGACAAACTAACAGACAGACATGTGGGTGGAGGAAGAAAAAGCCCTAAGAGTTATGATTGTGTGTCAACTGCCAAGGAGGCAAATGACCTGGGAGAAAAGGCTGGCACTGGGCCCTGCTCCTGCTGCGAGAGAGGCAGGTGCCGTGGAAGAAATGCAAACATGACAACCCAGGGTGGAAAAGTTATGTTTGTGTGGGTAGAGGAGGGTGTCATGTAGTCTGACTTACATGCACAGTCTCATTTATGTTTTGGTCTTCATATGGACTCTAAGATAAGCCGTAGAAATCTAAGAGTTTTATATACTGGTGAGAATTAGTTTTGAAGCTAATCATACAGTACAAGACCTATTTTTCGTCTTCCTTTTATTTTTTTGAAACACAAAAACTTTTCCAAAGGCATCTGAAGTTCTCAAACTACAAGTAAAAAAGGCAGCAAGATCAGAATTAGTTCTAGATCTGTGACTTCTCAGTACATTTACACTTTATTTATTAGGAATAAAAAAATACTGTCACAAAATCTCCTACAAGATCTAAAGAATAAAATGACGAAAAACAACTTTAGGAATGCAAAGGTCAAAGTTACACATACTTGGGATAACTGTGCACTTTTTAAATCCTTTAAATTGATGCACTGAGCCATTTTTAATCAGTTTCAAATCAAGGGCCAATGTTAAATTGAAGAGGGAAAAACACATCCAGAAAACATATAATTGGTACTGATTTATAGTTCTACGTAAAACATACCAAAAATACCTTATGATTTTTTTAAAGCTGGAAAGAAAGGAATCCTCTATTTAAGCAATAACAGAAAAATGGAGACTCTATTCCAAAGACTAAATGTTAAACTTTTTAAAAAAGTGCTTGATTTAATATAATATTAATGAAATTAATGGAGAAGTGAAACGGAATTCAATTATGGATCAGCAAAGAAAATATTCTTTGTTTATTGTCTGCCTGTGTTAAGAAGAATCAGTACCTATTGCTAATAAATCATTAAAATAAAAATGCTCAATTAATCCTTATTTTATATGTAAAGGTCTGATAGAAACTAGTCCTATCACTAAACCTTTGCTTCACAAATCGAAGCAATAATGGTTTCAGAAAGCAGTCACACTCTATGAGCAGACAATTGGAGAGATTTAGTAAATCCCACTTTAGAGAGCAGAGACTAATCGGAAAACACAAGCCAGTCAAATGTTTCTTATGAACTGTTGACACTATATCAATGCTGAATCAATTGGTGGCATTTACTCTGAGTGACAGAAAAGAAATAAATATTTATATCACATAACCTATATCAATGAACCCAGGCTGAAAGCTATTTCTAGCCTGTCAATATTTGATTATCTTGAAGAATCATGTCCCTTTCTTTTAATGATTAATATGAATTCCTTATTAAATCTAAGTGGAGGCTAGTGGAAAGGCAAATCATTATTAATGCTTGAGAGCATAAACCACTAAAATAAAAAACTATGCTCAAGTGGTAAAGTATCGTTAAATGTGACTTACATCTTCCATATCAAGTGGTGTTAGTGTGCAGCCCAGAAATGTATTGATGCCCACAACTGTGCACATTGCCTCACTGCAGTGCAATCTTGCTCACTCTTTAGTTAGCCTATAGCACTAACAAATAGAGGAATTAGTAGAAGAAGGAGATATTTTTGAAGATTTCTAATAGTGGTGATGGTGGTGGGAGGGTTTGCTTGTTTTTGTGAATGAAAGTAAATATAAAGAAGGCTAATCCTGAAGAGAAAGAAAATGCCATCCTATTTAATGTGGGGTTATCACATTCCCAAGGGAAAGCAATAAACAATCTTTAAGTGTCAAAAATCACTGCATGGCAATCCTCCACTGAAGAGAACCTCATAACAGAGAACATTAAGATATTTATGATAGTAGGTTTGTTGTCAAAACACTAGGAACATTTCTGAATGTTTATTTTTGCAGTAGAAATAAACTATTTTTCACTTTGGAAAGGGGAATCTATGACAGGTTATTTTCCATTGCCTGAGTTGAACAAATGTAGTTAAAGCTTCTTAATTTATGTCAATTTTGAAATATATTTTCCAGCTGAAGAACACAAATGACTCATACATAAATTACAATTAGTAACAAGATGTTGAAGATAAATAAATATCCTGGGCTCAGTATTTTTGTTTTTAGTTCAGTTTTGTTTCATACTGGTTCTGAACACATAGAGAGAGAGCACCAGAAAGACATACATGTGAACCTCAATCTAAACAAACCTTTGACTGCTTAAAGTTAAAAATATTAGATAAATATGATCTAAAATTCTGAGACTGTATAGATTACACATATAATACGAGATTCTCCTCAGCTGTATATACGACGTGTAAGAACCAGAATTCACACTCCGGATGATGATCAGATGTCAAAACGACATCAACTTACTTTTTCTAACTGTATTCAAGGGATTGCGTGCTAAATAAGGCAGGCTTCCAGAAGCACCACTATACAGTCACTGTTTTAAGGCATACGAATCTATTAGGCCACAAAGTTACAGGTGATATTAAAGGACAAGCATGAGGACCCAGCTTTGTCTTCTTGACATGCTCCACTACAAGTACTTGATTCATGAAATGCCAATGAGGCTTGGAGAGGTCAGCGTGTGAAGGCACTGAATAAGCATCTGAGATAATTAAGATTTCAGCCTTCGAAACATGGACGGGAAGTGAACAGCAGTTAAGAAAATCAATAAGAGTCTTTTATTTGCAGTGACACAGATGTCTCAGTCAATAGAGCCTAATAGGCAGGCTTAATCGCAATGGACAGGCGCCTGCCTCCAAGGCTATCAAAGGGCTTCCTCTATAACAAACATTAAAACGCATTTATGTTGCTATTGAAGAATCGAGGACCCTGTAGGTAGCTTAATTTACCAGTGTATGTTTAAAAGCAGTATACTATTTCAGATGTGTCCATTTACTTGAATCAAAATTAGTGAGAAATAAGTAGCCTGCAGGCCTGTTTGTTCCTCACTGGGCAGGTTAGGTCATGCAGCTTTAAGATGGCCTGTCTGACTAGCCAAACCAGGGCTCCTAAAGCCTAGGAATTTTAAATGCCAATGACCTCTTGTTATTCTATTTCCCTGAAAAGCCAGTGTTAGTCTCAGGACAAAAGAACTGCGCTAAGGTGAGGAAGTAACACTTTGGTTTATTTTTTCTCTCCAAAGATAATGAAAGAAACAGTCACCTCAGGATACAGGGCCATTTCGACAACCCGTGGGTTGACACACTTGTTCAGAACTGATTAACTTTTTTTGAACTGAGAAGGCAGCAGGGTGTGTGCATGGTACTTCAATCTGCCGGGAGTGAAACCCATTAGCACAGTTTGAAAAACGTGCTGCAAATTGTTCTGCCAATCAAATTAAGCCATGTAATTCATTTATGACAAGAAGATATTCACAGACTCTTTATCTGTTTGTTAGGTTTATGGACACAAAAACTAGACAGTAATAAGTTACCACTATCTGAAAATATTAATATGTAATGACACCTACCTGGCCATTGGCTAGTATTTTTTTCAGTTCAGCAGAAGACTTCTTTAAGCTGAAAAGGGAAGACGTAATTTTTTAATGGTAAGATCAACACCTTTGAACAATTCCAGAGTAAAACATATATATAGGGACTACATTCTTTACATCCTTCTTGTATAATATTTTTTCAAAAGTAACTGGCCAAATGGCAAAGCTATTAATAAAATGACTGAAACCCTGTTAGTAATTTAAAGTAACAAAGAAGCCTACAGTCAAAATGAAATTAGAATATTGTAGGCTACTTCAGTGACTTTTTTTGACTGCTAGTTCTGCTGCCTTTGGGTAACCTTTCAGGGGCTAGTTTATATGAACTCCATCTGCTAAATCCGAAGTACCTAACAATGCACTCTTAGAATGTTCGTAACAAAGATTACAGAACTTTAAAAGAAAAAATGGTTTAAATCCTGATCTTTTACTATAGTTAGAGTTACAGTTCAATTCCTGGGAAGCAAATGTGTAGTAGAAGTAACTCCTGGTATGCAATAGCGGTGTGTTCTGGGACAGATTATTTATTTATTCTCTCTGAACCTCAGGTTCCAAAATAACTTTCCTCCCTGTGTTACTTATTGGTGTAGATAGAGGTCTTTCATCCCACCACACCCCGCAAGACTGAAAGCTCCTTGAGAACAAAGACCACACCTTACTCACTTATCTACACATTCCATTTCATTCCCACCCTTGAACCTAGCCCAGCAACTTAGCATGTGCTAAGTGTTCGATAAAGAGTGGTGATTGTTCTGGTTGTTATTATATGCTGGTCAAACACACACACACACACACACACACACGCACGCACGCACGCACGCACGCACACACACACTCATTTGGTACTTCTAATAATTTATATTTGAGAAAACCTCAGACTTCAAGTTTGGCCACACTCACTATTCCAAGTTATAATTATTCTTCTTCCTAAATACTTCTTAAACTTCTACTATGGTAAAATGCAGACTATGAAGCCTTAGTGTCTACTTTCACCAGATTCTATAAAACATGACCTCAACCAATGGTTCTAAACTTTAATAATGTGTTCCCAAGTCTAAGAATTCATGTACCTAAGTGGAAATTAAGAGCTTTATAGAATGGAACTAAAGCTGAAACATATACCAAAAAAATAAACAGCTGCCTTAAATCAGTCCAGTTAAAAAAACAAAAAAAAGAAGAAGCAGTTCCATGTACTGAATGATGACCATATGCCAGGCACTGTGCTAAATGCGATACTTATTATCCTGATTTAATCCTTACCATAACTATACACCTGGGCATGAGTTTGGGAAACTGGCCTGCAGGGTATAATTACTCATAATTTACAAAAAACAAACAAATGAAGAACACTAAGGTACAGAACTTGCTCAAAGTCAGTCTCTCTCTCTTACACATACATACTTTTCTTCCTGAGAAACACTTAGATCCCTCTGTTCCCACAGATAACTCCCAATTTAATAGTTGCAATTGTTGTACAAATAAAAAGAACCAAAAAATGCCTGGGCAATGTTTCTCCACATATACTCATTCCATTTTATCACACAACTTGAAATAATAACATTTTGATTCACTGCATTTACAAAAAACTTTTCATCGAGGAAATGAAACATGATTCCTTGATATAACTTCAATCTTCTAACATCAGAGGTAGATATATAGAAAGTCTAATCATCCTAATTTTATAGGAAGAGAAAATCAAGACATTTGGGAAAGGCCTTGCCGTGGCAGTGGGACCTGAATTCTGTAATTATGGCCTAAAAACACCACGTGGATTAGCAAGCTCAGTTTAATAACAGCCATGCACCAAGACAAAGACCAGTTCATGCTCTGAGGTAACAGAAGGAAAGGCTGATTTCATCCGTTATGACAATATCTGGTTACCGACTTTGGTAAAAAGTATTTCTTTGTATTCTGGCATATTCTTTGTGTCCCAGTTTACCTGATATTTTGTTGGTAGGGTCAGAGTGTCTTTTAAAAATCACTTTTAAAATCTTTTTAAGCCCTGGTTGACGTGGCTCAGTGGACTGAGCGCTGGCCTGAAAACCGAAAGGTCGCAGGTTCCCTGTCGGGGCACGTGCCTGGGTTGCGGGCCAGGTCCCCATTTGGGGTGGACAAGGGGCAACCAATTGATGTTTCTCTCCCTCTCTTTCACCCTCCTTTCTCCTCTCTCTGAAAATAAATAAATAAAAATCAGGTCTTTAAAAAAATAATAAAACCTTTTTAAAGTTTAAATGTGATACAATTGTAACCCAGTTATGACACTTTAAGAGGGACACTGAGACAGCCAAAGAAGAGTAACAGGGTGAGAGGTCTAAAAATAATGTCGTATCAGAAAAGCTGAATGAGTTGGGGGAATTTAATCCAGAGATTAGACTTAAAGGGAATCTAAGTTAGTTAATTAGTTAGCTATTTCACTCATTCATTCAAGCATTATTATCTCCTATATCCCAAGCATCATTCCAGGAATTGGGAATTTGACAATGAATATTTTATAGTCACTGACCTCAAACAACACAGAATCTCCTGGGGACAGAGGTGATTTTAACACAATGTGCTACCTGGTACAGCAAGACAAGCACAGGGGTGTTATGGGAATTCATAGAAGGGGTACTTGGTGTAAACTGGGAAGTGGGTAATAATCAGGGATGGTTTTTAGAAGAAGATACCAGATTTATTCCTCAAAGATGAGAAACATTAGCCAGACTGAAGGCAGAAAAGGGGATTAAAAGAGGAGCACATCAGGAAAGACACAGCAGCAGATGTGAAAACCCAACAGGGAGGGAGAGGAAATGTGACCCATTAAGGGCACCTCTTATTTATCAGCAGACCTAGAATGTCAGGTAAGAAGGAGTGGAGTGGCAGGCTGTGGGGGGCTGGAATAGGACCCACATGTGAAAGGCCAGTGCCCACCTGCTGTGGAGGGTATACCTCACCCTGAAGATTGTGGGAAGCAGTAAAAGGGCAAATGACAGGCTCAGAACTCACATTAGCAAGGTGATTCTGACTGCAGTGTGAAGGAGGGACTTCAATGGGGCCAGGCTGGAGGAAGGAAACTTTAGGAGACTGTAGCAGTGACCTAGAGCCTGAATCACCTTTGCAACAACTGGGGTGTTGGGAAGTAGAGAAGACTCCAGAGAGACTCAGGAAGTAGAACCTACAGCCCTGGCTGGTGTAGCTCAGTGGATTGCATGCTGGTCTGAGAACCAAAGGATCGCTGGTTCAATCCCCAGTCACGGCACATGCCTGGGCTGCTGGACAGGTCCCCAGTAGGGGGCACGCGAGAGGCCACCACGCATTGATGTTTCTCTCCCTCCCTTCCCCTCTCTAAAAATAAATAAATAAAATCTTTAAATAAAAAAAAAGAAAAGAAGGTAGACCCTACCAATGCAGGAACTGACCGGATATGGGGTGGCGGGAAGCCCAGGAGGCAGTGCAGGATGACCGGCAGGTCACCTGGAGTGCGCAGCTGAGCAGGCGTGGGAGCATTTACCGAGACAGGGGCTCGAGCTGTATGTTTAGATTGGAAGATTGAGTTATCACCTATGAGAAAGAACAGCTCTGTTCTGAGGGCTAAATCAAATCTTTATGACTGGGTAGTAAAGGGAAGCAAATCTCAGCCCACAAAAAAGAACATTCTAAGACTTAGCTACATGCAAATGGAAGGGGCTGCCTCAGCCAATGAAGTGCATTCCTTCCACAGAGATGTTCGGGAGGAGTCAGGAGGACCACCAGGCCAGGAGTGAAGAGGCAGGCACCTAAGGAGGGCAGGGTTAGGTTGGGCTTCGCGTTCTCATTCTCCACACCGCAGGCAAAGAGGCTTTTATCAACACAGAGCTGGCAATAGCACTCCCCTGCTGAAGGTCACCTAATGGTCTGCCAACATACTGAGTGGGAAATTGAAACACGAGGCCCTGCGTGACGTGGCTCCTGCCTCCCTCCTTTTCTCCCATCACTCCTATTGCTCTCCTCCCCTCTCTCCATATCTTCCCCCAACTCAGCACCCCTCCCTGTGTGCCAGCCAAACGGGCCTGCTTACAAACACGCTGAGGCCCTTCTCCACCCCAGGGTGTTCCCCTTCGCGCTCTCTCCTCCCTCTGAAATGCCCTTCTCTGGCTCTTGATGTGGCTTGGTCCTTCTCATTCCTCAGGGAAGACTCTTCCCCAGAAAGTCTTCCCCGAGCACCCAGTCTAAACTTAAACATGTTCCTGCCCAGTGTGCTCTCTTCAAAGCTTGCCTGTTTACTTTATAACTAATTATAAAGTATAATTATTTGTATATTTGGACTTTCTGTCTGTGTGTCTACAAGGTAGTAAGCTCCAAAGGGCAAGGACCACACTGTATTCCTAGTGTGGAGGATAGCACTTAATGAATAAGAGGGCACTCAATAAATACTTTTGATTTGCTATCAACTTGGGACACAGAACATGGTCAACCCAGAATGGCATATTGAAATCACATGGAGGACTTTTTCCAATTGCATCCCTTCCATAACAGAAATCACTACAGGCACAAACTACTGTTACTATTAGGGAAGCTGTCACGCCCTCAGGGAAGACGCTGCAACAAAAGGCTGAGAGCCACTAGAACAGACAGTCTCTGTGCAGCCGGAAGACTTCATAACACTCTGTGAATATAAATGACACTTTTTAAGAAACCATGCTAATTCACTCATGTTTTTAAAACTAAATCTAAGAGAACTGAAAAGTTATCCTGTTTCTTCTCTGTCTTACCATTTTTTCCAACTCTATCCTCTTTTTATGCCATGATAAGATTTGACCTAAAACACCAGGGAAAGTCCTGATTTTTCCTCAAGGCTCATGGTCAGTCAGCCTGTCTGAACAACACCTTTTCTGGAAGTACTGGTAGTAATTAAATGCCGTGTCCTCTTTGAATTGAGTATAATGAGTGACCATGGCTCACATGCCCAACAAGTGGGAAAAGAGAAACTACAGGGCCAGGTCCCTGGATGAGAACCAAAAGACCTACCCCCATGACCACAAGATAGACGAGCCACCAGCAGACAACCAGGCTGTATTTTAAGACACAATGAATTATTTAAGAAGGAAATATACTTTAATAGTAGTGTGTTTATAGCAGGAAAGCTGGTAGGTAGATATAATGACGCTATAATAAAGCAATCGAGGAAGTGACTTTTGGGGAGAGGACAGGAGAGTAAGGATAGAGTCAGGAGAGACTTTAAATTACTTACAAGTAAAGACCCCTGGCAAAAAACAAATAAAAACAAAACAAAACAAAAACTAAGACTCAGGGTTAAGAGGGAAAGGAGAGGCATAGAAGAGAAAGTAGAAGCCTAAACTGCATCTCAGCTGATAAAGAAAGGGCTGTGCAAATACTGGCTACAGCCCTAAACCCAGGAAGACCTGAGCAAAGAATGGAAGGGTTTTGTGGTTTGATACTGGCCTGTCAGTCACCAGTGTGAATACACACCTGCAGAGCAATCACCTTCACAGCATCATCTTCAAGTAGAGGCATACCTCGTTTTATTGTGCTTTGCTTTGTTTTATTTTACTTTGAAGATACTGTGTTTTTTACAGATTGGAAGTCTGCAGCAACCCTGTGTTGATCAAGTCTATTGGTGCCATTTTTCTAAAGGCATTTGCTCACTTGTCTGCCATAGGTTTGGTAATTCTTGTGATATTTCAAAGTTTTTCATTATTAGTAATATTTGTTATGTTAATCTGTGATAAGTGATCTTTGATGTTACTATTTTAATTGCTTTGGGGAGTCAAGAACCACACCCATAAAAAACATCAAACTTAATAAATGTGTGCTCTCACTGTTCCACTGACTGGCCATTCCCTTGTGTCTGTGTGTGTCTGTCTGTCTCTCCTTCCCTCCTCTGGCCAGAATGAGACCAATTAATAACCCTACAATTGCCTCTAAGTATTCAAGAGATAGCTGGAGAGAAGTCAACGAAAGCTTGAAAGCTTCAGAGCTTCAAAGGATAGGCAGACTCTCTTGTTAGGTGCTGATGTAGCTGGTGAGTTTAAGTTGAAGCCTGGGCTCATTTACCGTTCTGAATATCCTAGGGCCCTCAAGAATTAGGCCAAATCTACTCTGCCTGTGCTCTATAAATGGGACCTCAAAGCTTGGATGACAGAACATCTGTTTACAGCATGGTTTACTGAATATTTTAAATCCACTGTTGAGGTCTACTGTGCAAAAAAAAAAAAAATTCTTTCTCAATATTACTACTCATTGACAATGTGCCTGGTCACCCAAGAGCTTTGATAAAGATGTACAACAAAATTAATGTTGTTTTCATGCCTGCTAACATAACATCCATTCTGTAGCCCATGGATCAAAGAGTAATTTTGACCATCAATTCTTATTTAAGAAATACATTTTATAAGGCTATAGCTGCCATAGATAGTGATTCCTCTGATGGATATGAGCAAAGTAAGCTGAAAACCTTCTGGAAATTATTCATCATTCTAGATGCCATTAAGAACACTCGTGTTTCACAGGAAGAAGTCAAAATATTAACATTAACAAGAGCTTAGAAGAAGTTGAATCTAACCTTCATAGGTGACTTTCAGGGGCTCAAGACTTCAGTAGAGGAAATAACTAACTGCAAATGTAATGGAAATAGCAAGAGAACTAGATCTGAAAGTGGAGCCTGAAGATGTGAGTGAATTGCTGCAATCTCATGATAAAACTTTAACGAATGAGGAGTTGTTTCTTATGTATGAGCAAAGGAAGGGTTTCTTGAGACGGAATCTCCTGGAAAAAGTGATGCGAAGACTGCTGAAATGACAACAAAGACTTAGAATACTACATAATATTAGTTGACAAAATACCTGACAAAGTTTGAGAGAACTGACTCCAATTTTGAAAGGAGTTCTACTGTGGGTAAAATGCTACCAAACAGCATCACATGCTACAGAGAAATCATTCGTGAGAGGAAGAGTCAATCAAAATGGTAAACTTCACTGGTGTCAGATTTTAAGAAATTGCCACAGCTACCCCAGTCTTCAGCAATAATCACGCTGATCAGTCATTAGCCATCAACATTGAGGCAAGACCCTCTGTTGGGGCTTGCTGAAGGCTCAGATGATGGTTAACATTTTGTAACAATAGATTTTTTTAAATTAAGGTATCTACACTTTTTAGAAATAATGCTACTGCACATTTAATAGACTCTAGTATAGTGTAAATGTAACTTTTATATGCACTGGGAAACTAAAAAATTCATGTGACTTGCTTTACTATGATATTTCCTTTATTGTGGTGGTCTAGAATATGTTCACTAGTTGAATAACTGAATGTATAACAAAGATGACCTAGAATGCTAATCAGCTTAAGCAGGTTGCTCCTTCTAGTTGAGCACCATGATAGTCTGGAAATTCTCAGGCCTGTCAAAAAAACACATTTTAAAAGGCTCAAGTCTCTAGTAGTATCCATCACAGTGTGAGGCAATGTTGTTAGCATGAATTAATGACAATTATTTTCCTTCCAAAATAGCTTCAATCTCTTATGCAACCAAAGATACAAAAATGAGCAACAAGGGTGGTCAATTTAAATCTTACCACTTTACTCTTTCCTTGCCTCTTTTTGGTTAAGATACTGCTAAAAGTTGAACAAACAAGAAGGAAAAAAAGCATTAAACAATTCATAAACCAGCCCATCTAGGCATCAAATCATCAAATCACTGAATCTTCTGTATAATTTGGTAACTGAAGGAAAACCATTCCATAGACCAAAATTAAGAGTTTAACACACTGAATTTCATCTTCCTCTAGGAGGCAGGTTTTCTCTCTTTGGTCAGTATGTACCCAGGGTTACCTAACTGCTCAAGTTTCTTCTAAGCCACATACACTTCTTTTGGTCTTTAAGAAAAGAGGTGACATTCCACACACCATTTCCCCACCCTGCAACTTTGCAGACAATCCTGCTTATGGGTACACGTCACTCGCTTGCTCATACCTATTGCTTGGAAGTGCCTCTGAGACTGCTGGGCTGCTGTGGTGAGAGGGTCCGGCCCGCGTATTCACCTACAAGTAAAGACTCTCCATCAGTTTTGTGTTCTGAGGATAGAGTTCCAATTAACCTATAATTTACCACAAATTTCTCATTTCACTATGAAGGTTAATTAGTTTGTTGCTAGACAGACCCATGGTTAGAGTCTATTTAGTATATAGGTTACAGAACTATACAACCTGTATATTACATAATACTCTCTTACTGTCATTATTCAAATAAACAGTGCTGAAAAAAGGGAGAGATAAATAGGGAAAATTTTCAATTCATTGTCTAGAATTGAGTTCAATTCTAGAGAAAAATTCCATTTATTGTTGTGTTATGTTTCATATGCAAAAAACCAAGCCTCATGTGTTCAAAAAAGCACATTAAGACTACATCCACAGGTTAGTAGTGAACCTGAAGCTGTCATATCCATCAGCTCTAAAATTGAGCAGAACATTGTAGAATGTTCCATGACCACTAAAAAATGAAGTCCAAGGAATTAATTATAAAATGTTTGAATCTAAAAGCCAGCTTTTCTTTCAAATGTAAAGCATTAAACAGAAATCTAGAATTCAAAATACACAGAACAATTAAAAGGCATTAAATATATGTTTTTTAGCATATATACATCAAAAGAAGAGAGGGGTGGTTATTCTGTGTGCACTATGCTTATGTGCTTAATTAACCACTGAAATGAAGTCTGTATTTTCACTTAAGTAAATCTTTGTGAAGATCAGTACCCAGGATCATCCTGAAGAAAGAGACCAACAAAACAATTCCAGATAATAAAACGCATGACAACAAAACCCCTGTAACCAAACATATACACATATTAAGCATACACTACAGAAGAATCCCCCTCCAACCTTCCATTTAAAAAAAAAAAAGGAAAAGGAAAAAAAAGGGATCGCTTGTCAGAGCTTGAGAAAGTGCAGTTTTATTTGACATTTCAATAAGTGGAACACAGCATTACAAATCCATCTAACTTTACTGAAACAATTATTGAAATTCGTACCTTCAGGCCATGTATGTTCCGTTCCCCAGGAGGCTTGCAGGCTGAAACAGTAATTGACTAAATTGTAGAACACATCAGGGCCATTTACAAATTTGCTCAAAATGAATCGTTTAAAAAGAAATGAGGGTGACACCAAAATTAGCAGAGAGAAATGATTGAAAAGTGGCTCCCAAGACCCAAAGTGGGAATTATGAACCAGGGTTTTTAACTTGCAGGAGTGAGCATTTATAAATGCAAAAAGCTTTCTGACACCACCTCATATAAATTCCAATTTCTGCTTAAAACATATAAAAATCAAGTTAACTGAGCTAAAATGATTAGATTCCTTTCATAATTCAAATTTCTGCAATCTTTCCTCACTCTATTACATTGTATATCTGCCATCACTTAAACTACTTTGAAAATCGCCAGGTTTTAGGGGGAGTCGACGAGTGGGAGCAAGGTCTTTTAATGCCAAAACAATTGTTAGAGATTCTAAGATGGAATATTCGAGTCTGCATAGTATTAGTCTGCACAGCAAATAAGCAGTCAAATTTATTAAAATACAGAGATATCACTAATTTTACTACATTTCTTGGCAATCTTAACATCTGGTAGTATTTAAGTGTAAAGATAAAGCAGTGCCAAAAAAATAATATTAATTTCCTGACACCATACTGAGTTAGAGGTTAGTATTTTTCCGATTCAGCAAATGCTTCTTCATCAAATGTTAAAAACACAAAAGCTTCCTGCCTGTGTTATAGGCTGTTTCCATCTGAAAACTACAGTGCCCTACATATTATATGTTAAGGGGCTGTCAATTTTGATAGATTGTTTGGTGAAGGATGAATTTGATTTTTTTTTTTTTGCCTCCTCTCTCAGATGTACATGTATTTTTCCTGTTTCTGACAACAAGAAATACAGGTATTTAATAATAACATGTGAGTAATAATTACAAAGCACATCAGTAGCTTTGATGTTGTATATTTCAAATATATTCAAATGTATTGTTATTTTCCTAGAAAATACATCTCAACCTTAACAAAGAATTTTTTGGTGTTTTTCTAAAATGCATTAAAATCATGATTCCAAGCCTTCTTTACTTAAAATGGAAATTAAATTTTTGAACAAAACAACAGTCATATACATTTGATGCTTGATCCCTGAGGGACCATTAATACTTCCTAAGACAACAGGTCAGAGTATTTTCACTGAAGTACCCAGTGCATTCAAAAAACTTCATTTAATAAGAAAGTGGCTAACTAAGGAATTAGAAACAGGCATCAACTCTTTTTTCTAATTTTTCCAACAGTGTGGTGATTGCTGCGGGGAGGGGAATATAAAGGAACTAAATGGTAATGGGGAAAAAATGCAATAAGGATTAAATTAACCCTTATCTCTTACCTTAACAGCTGTCTCTTTCCTCAACTGGCTTCTCAAACCTTTAAAACTGAAAATCTAAACAGTATTTAAAAACCTAATACCTTATATTTCCTAATTTATTGATGATATTATAAAGCTAGTAAATTTTCATACTTAGTAACATTTAACATATTTTTTAACAACGGAAAGGACTTAGCCATGAGCTGAGAGTTAATATCTAAAGCAACTGTCCCACTTGGAATGAGAAAAACATCTGATGTTAGAACAGAAACTTTATCTCCTGTCTTTCTCACTTTTTCTGTCTAGAGATTCTTTTTAACATGGGGTCTGACCACAGAATCTAAGGTCTGGGGCCTCTAACTAACTATGCAGGCCCTGTTAATATACCCAATGTGTCCATATCCTAATTGTACAAGTTTGCATAATCTCACTTATCTATATATGATGTAGATAAGTAAGCAAAAAGCAGAAGAATACAAAAAACTAAAAAGAGTTGTACAATAGCATGTACAAAAAACCAAAAACCCATAGGGGAAGAGTGACTGAGTCTCTGATTTTTTAAAATGTAAATTTGGCTTGGAAGAACTTTATTTAGTAATTTATTGGTGCCAAATCGCCTCTGTGGTAGAAATATGGGTGACACTCACATCTCATTTATTTTCTCCTTTTCAGTATCCTGTCCCTACATTACACTCTTCTTAGCACTCCTACAAACCCCTCCAAACTACCCTCACGCACACCACCAATATTTTAACTTATATGTCCTTCTACTTTCAGCAAGTTATATTTTAAACAAAATTCTTATCAAAGGGTACATTAACCACTTATCAGTTGTGTGGTTCTGAAATTACTTAACCTCCCTGAACTTCAATATTCTCACTTAAACAATGAAAGCAATAATACCTAATAGGCAAAACTTTGGGGAAAATTAGAAATAAAAAAATTTAAAGCAATATTAGTACCTGAATAGAGCAGATGTCAAAAAATGGTTTTTATTATCAGGGGAGAGGGTACAATGGTATAGACAATAACACTGACCAGGACTGCTCAAAATAAAGAAATAAGTAAGTAAATAAACAAATAAATAAAATGAAAACTTGAAAAGATTTTAGATATAAAAGGTAAATATTTTATTGGGGGAAAAAAAAGGCCCACAGCACTGGACCTATAATTACCCAGCATACTGTACTAGGGTTTGTTATAACAGCAGAGCTACAATGCCATCAAGTAGGGAAGCAATTAATGGAAATTTTTCAGCTGGTAAAAAAAAATACTCCTTGTGGAGAAACAGTTTTGAAACTTGACCAAATTCTCTAGTCACTAAAAATATTACAAAATAAACTGCATCGTTGTTATTGGCCTAATATACAAAAGCGGTGACATTTCTTTTTCTTTTGTTTCTGTTTTAGTTTCTAGTCCTCAGGTGCAACAGAATTCGATTAATCATAATCCTGTTTCAGACACACTATCAATGGCCCAATTTTATTTCCTTAGCTCTTTAATAAGTTATTATTAATAATTTACTGAGTACGCCCAATCCCACTGCCTACATTAATGCTAGAAGCGCGGCACTGCTCTTGAACCCAGGCCTTGTGGGCTGGCCGAGTCAGATGCCTTTGGAGACTTTATCAGTGCAAATAAGAGCCTATTAGTTAATTTAGCTATTCAATCTTCAGAGTGTTATAGGTAATAAAAGTCGAGAATGTTTAATTGGAACACTTACACCATGATTATTTGTATAGTATCAGTTAACAAAAGTTTAACCTTTAATTATTTCAGTTATTTCTAGGAGTTACTTAGAGAATTTCCTTATCTGTTCCATCAAGTTAGAAAACATGGATTTGAAGTGGGACAATGTATAATGGATGACAGACTTAGCAGTTTATATAATCAAACTGTTCATTTTCTTCATTATTCAAATTTTGAGGGAATATTTATATACAGGGGAACATTCATATCTGATATAAGGCTAGTTAGTGACAAACCGGAAAGGGAAAAAGTACATTATCTGTCCAGGTGATTGACTGAGACTTACCTTAATGAGTGCATATTTTTGGAGACTTAACAATTAAATTCCCATTTATGAGGACTTTCTCTTATTTAGAAAATGCCACCCCCGAAACCAAGCACTAAACGTTTTACCAAAAATTCTCTCCTAAAGCTTCTTGGTAAACCTTAGCTTCTGTACTAGCTGAAAGCTTTCTCCATAACAGCAGCTTTGGCTACCATCATGAGCCACGATTTATAAATGTCCAAAATTAAAATCATTCATTTGCCTTGGTTTAGAAACCATGTGGACCCCCAAAGAGTTTTTTAAGCGAATGTAAATATGTACTTCAAAAACAAAAACACAATCTAGTTAGTTTAATTTACTCTAGTAAATTAGATATTTTATCTGCCATAACTATAATACAGCCTGCAATCCCCATGATAATGAATGCTTCTTTTGTTTTTTTCAAATTAAGAGCTAAACATCATGTTATGTGCATTTAAACCTTTGGAAAACATAACTGTTGATGAAACAGTTTACTGAAATAATCATTGTTGATTAGAATTTGTTCAACATTACCTCTTGGAAATATCTGCAGAGGCTCTATTAACTGTCCATTTACTTGCTGCTCCATTACTGTGGAATAATACTGCAAAGAGATTATAGAAAGAGATTACTCAGTAATGTATGAATACCGGAACCGGCACTCATGGGTTGTTTAATTCATAGTACTTTTGTAAATTGCTGCGATATATAAAATCAGCCTCGAGAATACTTTGTCCCCATTTGCACATTAAAATGACTATAGTGAATATTCAGTATTGAAAGTCCTGTACAGTGTTAGCCTCCACACTATCACTTATCTTTAAAAGTAAAACTGTTGATTAAGACTTTAGATTAGTGTGTGACCCGTAGACATATTTTGAAAATGATACGTTATTTAAAAAAAATACAAAGCATTTTAGTAGAAATCTCTCAAATTGCCTCTTATTCTCTTTCCCTGGATTTTGCAAAGTAAAATAAAGATGCCTCACACTTAGCTTGGACCTCTTTGCCAGTTAATCAAACTTTATTCATATTTGAGTATAAAATTCACAGATGGAAATCTAAGTCATGGAGATGGTGGGGATGAGCAAACAAGATATGATCCTTCCAAAGATGACAGGATAATTAACTAAAAAGGCAGCCCAGTTTCAAGCAAATATACCTTTTATGCTTTAATCTTACAAATTCTTTCATACAGATCAAATTTCACTTTAAAATTCTGGGCACAAAAAATAAAGTCCCAAGTGAAAAAAGCATTCATACTCCTTCAGAAACACAGATTCATTCAGTAGGTTGTTTTATACTCTGATTCCCATTTTTCTTAGTAAGCTAATCAACAACAACAACCACAATAATAATAATACGCTTTAATAAGCCTATGTTCAGCTAACTTGAAGATCGTGTCTGGCCCTTACTTCCTTAACATTTGACTAACAACAAAGTGATGCTCTTGATGGCAAAACATCAACAATGAAACCTGCCCAGTTTGGGTTGGAGGGGCTGTCACAGAGCAGAACTCCCCTTTAAAATCTTGGCTGTTTTTATATTAAAAACCCACAGATGTTATTTATTACATTTTCAGAAAATTTTTCCTTGATCATTATTTGCTGGCATTCTTGAGTTTCTTTTTAGAAGATACAGACATCCATCTTCTTATTGCTTTTATGTACATTACATTATTACCACATCCAGTTTCTTTTCCCCTTAATAATAAAGAGAATTATTTCTACATCTTAAAGTCTACATCATCTTGGAAATCACAAGTTAACAAGGCTAAGGCTTTTTACCCTAAAAACAAAATGAAAGTGAATTTTGATAGACATAGACTTATGTAAGTGTATCCTGCACTCCAAGGGCTTTAGAACTGTAAAGGAAACTGATCCTCTCCTGTGTATGTAAAAACTCATATACATGCAGCATAAACATACATGATATTCTCTGGAATACATTCTAAGGTGAAACGTCTTTCAGGAGATTCTATTCCTTAAAACCACAGAAATACAGTGCTTGCCATTACTCAAACAGTGATGACAAGTAAATGAAATATCAATCATGTAGGCTGTCAACCTTTTGGGACAGCAATAACTGTTAACAAGTAGTCTGGAAAAATTGTCCGAAAATGACTTGTTCTCGGCACACCAGTGTTTGAGGTTTCCATGGAAAATTAAGATGCCAGTGGCTATTTGGAACATTGCTCAGGTATTCTTTTTAATGGAAAATTTGCCGGTTATTGATCCACAGCATGTAACCCCTTGCTTCTGGAAGGCTGAGAGCAACTTTCCAATCAGTGGCTGTCAAAAAAATTACTGCCTTTTTATACTGATACAAGACAACAGCAGCGGTGGTGTTCGCCTATAGTTAATGCTTTTCTTTAATTAACTGCTATGTACAATAGGTTAGTAATTTCAGTTATTACTTCACCACAGTCGTAAAATCAAAACAAATAAAATATCCTTATTCTTTATCTAACAAATTAATTATAGGGTTGTCTGAAACTGGTGCTTGTGGTCAAGTCTGAAAACAAATAACCTCAAATGTAAAGGGTCAGACAGGTGCAATGCATTTTTTTCCTACTATAAAACCTTGCATGCATGAAATTGACCTGTTTTCCAACTTTATTTATTTACCTCACAAAATTAATTTTAAAAAATGGTTTCCCTTGGCCCTGGTCAGTGTGGCTCGGTTGGAGCGTCATCTTGTAACAGAAAGGTTGCAGGCTTGATTCCCAGTCAGGGCATATACCCAAGCTGCGGGTTCGTTCCCCAGTTCGGGTGCACATGGGAGGCAACCAATCTATGTTCCTCTCTCACCTAGATATTTCTCTCTCTCCCTTCCTCTCTTTCTGAAGCAATGAAAAACAAATTTCCTTGGATAAGGATTAAAATATATACATTTTAAAAGAATGGTTTCCCTTTCATTTCAGACCTGTGCCAAATCAACTGGTAAACTATATATATTTTTATAGTCATTGTAAGAATTTTTTAGCAATCTATAAACATCTTTTTGTACTATATAATTAACTCATCACAGTAATGATAAAAAGAATTCCACTTGCCAGTTCCTTTAAACCAAGTAGTTAGGATTTGTATTTTGTTTTCTACAATTCTTCCAAACCCAGGGACCATTTTTTCCTGCTGCAATACTGGGTTTGATCTGTGTTTGTATTACCAGAGAATCTGTGTTCCACACAGTGAAGTAATTCACCATCGAGGACCAATTATAAAGGGCAGTAATTAAACCCATGGCGCAGGCCTACTCTAGGCAAATGACCGCTGAGGAACAGGCCTGGTGAGGACCAGGGGCCCCCCAACAAGGCACCAGGCCAAGGAGCTCATGCTACTGCTTACACAGCATTCCCTAAGGGACGAGGGTAAGATGCAGGGCCATAAATAGTATCTTCTGGAACAGAGAGGTCCTGAGGGGCCATGAGGCCTGTGCTGCCCAGTAAAATGAGCAAGGAGCTTGAAGAACTCAAACCCAGGAGTCTCAGTACTGGCCATTTTTTAGCTCAGGACCTCAGTGAGGAAACACTCCACCTCAGTTTACTCATCTATAAAGTGAAGATGGTATGTAACCACAGGATTAATGGGGCACTTACATGAGAAGATATTGAGATAGCACTTAATAAGCTGCATAGCAAGTTGTTTTTAGATCTCAATCCTGTCAAGGTTTTTACATATTCTCCCTTTAAAGAGAGAAAGGGATTCTTTCCAGTTTTGTTCCAAATAGTGATAAAATATAAACAATGATGACAAAGACATCTACTAGACAAAAACAAAATGAAAAAACTAACCAAACAAAAGCCTAAATCTTGTATGCCAAGATATTTAACATGGTTCAGACAGAAAAGTAACAAAGTGAACCATTATAACATTAATGAAGTCACAATTTGAAGTTACCTAAATAACTTCCTGAGCTTATTCTCTATAATCTATTTTGGCTTTCATTACTCCTAACACAAATCCCTGCACATAGTAGGTGCATGATAAATATGTATTGCTTGAAATGGGGTCCAATCTTGACTCTGACACCTATTAACTTGTAGTGGCCTTCAAAAAGTCATTTAACCTTGGTGAACCTTAGTTTCCTCCAAATGAGAGTGAAGAGATCTATTCTATGACATATGATTACGGTGAAGCTCAAAATTAAACTGGAGCAATAGAATTAATGAAGGTACTTTGTAAACTGTAATATATTATTAGTAGTTGAGAAATTAAAAAGTGAACCACTTAATAGTGTAACAACATTAAGCACAACACTCTTTGAGAAGTGCTCTAGCATTTAAAAATACAGAAATAGTTATGTATAAAAAGTATGAAGTATTGTGCTCGAACTGAATATATCAGCAGCAGTTATAAAATGTGTTTTCTGTCTGGATTTCTGCTTGCAGAATCCGTTACATGTAGTAATTGCAGCAATAATCAATAAGCTAACTGAGTAAAAGATTAATCAGTTTTGTGATTGCTAATGGAATCTCCACAACCAGACTCAGATTAGTTTGAGTCCCTCTGAGATGTTCTTCAAAATCCTTAAACAATTTTAATAAGGATGTGACAAAGTTTAGCATAGTTATCCAAAAATCTAATTAATTTGAAACAGAGGGCCAGAATCAACAAGGGGATAGCAAGTACAATTTTTGGCTTTGTTTTGTTTGCAAGTTTATCAAATAGTGTTCCTATTTGTTATGAGCCCAATTCTAATTCTAACAGCACAATTCAATCAATAATTACAACATTTTTTTTCTTCATGGAAATCTGCCATATGACAAACTTGGGTTCCAGAATAGCAGTTTAATTTAACAAGGCACAAGTTTTCTATTAAAAGAGAGAGGAGACAGAGGGCAACACACACAGAGAAACGACTATCACTCAGTGAATACCTACTCTGTGTTAGGCTCAGTACTACATATTTACATTTATTCATTTAATTTTTCACAACCTTATTCTATTCTGTGAGAATCATCACCCTTATATTTCACAGACAAGCAGAGGTTTTATCAGTGAATCAAGAAAAATACTTCATTCCAGTCCATGTACTCAGAACATGAAATGTTATGTTTACTCTTTAAGAGCCAAAAGGCAAGTTATCTCATATTTCTCATACCTTAAAGCATCTAACTAAGCAAAGTGCACTACTGGGTAGACTGCTGAGCTGGTGGAGAGCTTGTCTTCCTCACTCATACCCTGTGTGGGTTAGGCCAAGTCCTCTGATCTTTCAGAGGCCGGCATGCACGAGACAGCATGGTGCAGTGCAAAGATTCCTGTACTGACAAAGGAGCTCTCCCTCTTTCTTCAGTGACTCTCTCTGGTTCTCCTACCTCCCTGACCACTCTACTCAGTTTCCTGTAAGCGGTTCTTCCCCCGCCCCTCCTTTAAATGGAGTTCCCCATAGTTGTTCATCAACCTTCTCTTATTTTAGACTCTCCTTAAGTTAACTGCAGCCACTTCAAAAGGTTTCAATTACCAGAGGAGTCATTGAGACTAATTAGGAGCTGATGAATCACAAATCTTTATTTTCAGCCCAGATTTCTCTCTTAAGACTCTAAACATACCCAATTGGTTGTCCATAGGCTCCTCTAACTCAAAAGGTCTTTACCTCTCCCAC